TCATTATCAGATATAAGAATTATGAATTTTCTTTGAATGGATTAAATTGAATTGTTTTATAATTATTTGTCGATTCATTTATATGTAAATCTAAATTTTTATTTTGTTTCATACGCCGAAAAACAAATCCAAATAGTTTTCTTAAATCTCCGAAATAAATATTTCAGTTTGCTATAGTTACTATTATATAATTATTGCAAAACCAAAAAAAAATTTCTTTTCTTTTTTAGTCTCATGGGGACTCAATTAAAAAAATTTCAATTCCACTATTATTAAAAGAAGAACATATTGAATTTCCGAATGCATTTCAACAAAATCAACATAATCCAATAGATGAACTTGAAACATCTCCAACATTAAATTCAACATTATATTCTCAAAATCAACAAGCAAATAAAATAGATCCACCTTCAGCACAAATTAGTTTTTCATTAGATGATATAACAGGTGATGTTGATCATATTCAATCATCACTTGATAGTATTCGTGAATTAATGTTTGATAATTTACCTGAAGGTACATCGATTGAAGATTTATTTTGTGATGATAATGGATTACTTTTACCACTTTTACAATCAACAACAAATGATAATCAAACTGGAAATTTACTTTTAGAAAATCTTCCAGAACAAACATCAAATACAGGTTCATAAACGAATATGGAATTAAAAGATCGTATCGGATAAGACGATGACCTTTCATTTGAAAAGCTATCTATATTACTTGGTAGAGCAACTTGTGACGCATCGAATTGTATATAAGGAATTGCTTTTTCATCAAGTTTTAATATTATGAAAAGCCATGTATCAGTTAAGGGATATTACACAACAATTTTGGGTGATATGACCAAATATCTGCCGATCCATCCTTTAAAAAAAAAGCCAATTTTTCGATTCCTAAAAGTAGAAAAGTATATGATTTTTACGATAAATACTTTTTGAATGAAAAAGTTCCTATCTATTAATAGAAAAGCTCATCATGCTCTATTATTTGACATATATGGCTCTTTCGAAAACGACAAAAAATTTTTCACTTTCGGATCTTTGGAGAGATACGAGAATATGCAAAATTTTTAATTATCACAAGAGATCAAACATATATTGAATCAAATAGAGCTCCATAATTTAATCACATCCAACTGCCCCGAATCTAAATTCGTAAGGGACAAAATTGAACATAAACTAATCATTTTAATAGTACATTCTCGTACTCCCCTCCAGGGTTCTGGAAGCGAAAACTTTTTTTTGTAATTTCAGAAGATCCATATATATCAAATAACAGAGTATGATAAACTTCTTATTAATAAATAGAAAATTTTCACTTGAAAAAGTATTTATCACAAACCTCATACTTTTCTATTCTTAAGTATATCACCAAGAATTATAATAATATTCTTTAACTGATATATAATTTCTCAGAACATTAAGGCTTTATAAAAAAATCAACTTTCCACATACCATTCAATACGCCATGAGTTGCTCTACAAAGTAGTTTAGATAGCTTTTCAAATGAAGAATATTCATCTTATCCGACAACGTCCTGTATTTCATATTTATTTTTTTCTTAGGTAATAATAATTTTGAACCAATCGAAACAACAATAAATTCTCAATCTGTTCCAAATATTAATAATCAATTATTTGAACAATTAATAACAGAAACAGCTATAAATGAAGAACAACGTAATACAATAGAACACTTAGAACGTGAAAAATTGAATTTAACAGATAAAATTCATATACTCGAAAAACAAGCAACTGAAAGAAAATAACAATAATATTTAATTTAATACAGCTTTTTTTTCTTCTCTTTTGTACATTTATTATTTACATGATTATGTTTTCATTTTCTTGGTTCACTTTTTTGTTTTTTTAGACAGGAAAATAAGCATTATATCTGTTTCTTAATCTTTTTATTCTTTCTTTCTAGCCTAGCAACGTGCGCGTATTTATTTGTTGTGGAAAAAAAATACAAAATTCTAATGGTTCATCAAAGAATGAAGATTTATTTCAATTTAATATTTTACCGTTATAATCGGCAATTGTTGTTGTTGTCTTTGTTTATGTCTTTTTCCACATTCTTTTTTTTTGCTTTATATTGATAATAAAACAAACAATCAAGCAATTTTATCTTATATCAAAAATATAACTTGTATAGATTTAATGAAATTTGATGTCTAGTGTAATAATTATATACATAGAATATATTAAAATATATTATCAGAATAGAAAAAAAAAAACAAGCATCTTTCTTTAACTTCCGTTCTGTAATAACAAAGAATAATAAGAAAAGCAACTGCTAATATATTCAGATTTTTCATCCGGTTATTTCATGATAAGAAGAATTATTAGATGTTTCTATATAAATCATCTGTGCATCTTTTCTTTTAATACAAACAAATCCATAATTCATGTATAGGCAAAAACAGGAAGATGATATAAATGGGTCCTGAGATATAACAAATTTATTAATGGTTGTTTTTTTTTTGTGTTTTTTCATTGCACAATTGAAGAAGAAATAATAATAACGACTTAGACATGTATATACATAAAAAAACGATAACAGACATAGGGCTACATTCGATTAAAGTATTCAAATAAAAGTACATGCAATAATTTTTTGTCTGTTGTTTTTTTATCTGATGCATAACATATAATCAAATGTTGATAAAATAAAATAAACAACAAAATTAAATTAGCTATGCTCATTATTATCATTAATGATTCGTTGCTTTGTCAACAAATGGATTAACGATTGTTGATGTAGATGCGGGTGGTGTTAAACCAAATGAAAAAAACCGTCCAAAGAAATAAGCACCGGTATTAGATGATGGTGAATCAGGAATATCAATAGCTGATGATGCGTTGGAATGATTTTTTTGTTGAGCTTTTTCTTCAGTTGCACGACAAATAGTAAAACAATAATTCATTGAAGCCATTTGGTTTGTTTTAAATATAGTTAACGACGATTCAAGTTATCGTAAGATATGAGAATGAAGTGCTTAATACACCAATGTATTTATATGTTTGTGATAGGGTCAAGGTGCATGATTGTCAGTGTAGATTTTCACAAGAACACGCAAGCAGCGAATGATATTAGCGTGTTTTTTTCTATTAGAGCAATTAGAGTACGGCTGATACGTATGTGAGCAGAACAGATGTGCCTCCTCTTTTTTCTCTCTTTTGTTCGTCGACCTATATAAGAAAAAGGAAGAGAACGGATTGATACACATAGTTGTACGAAAAACAAAAAGAAATCTAATGAAGGACGAGGCTATCAATTTCTACGTTGTTTCTTTTTCTTTTAGTATGTACGTCGGATAGGTTTACGCAACAAAAAATGTCACGATAACACAAAACAAATAACTACTACGCATCATGTACTTAGAGAATAAATGAAAAATCTGATCAATTATATCTTGAGTCTGATTATTTGATTTGAAGACAAAGTACAAAAAAAAATATATTCACGTGTTGTAAATGGCCTTTCTTTCTATATAAAATAAATAGAGACAGCGACCTTATGTGAAATTATTTGAATATTTACTAACAACTTTACGCATTTAATTAAATACAAATACTAATATCGTAGAAAATGATAATTTAAGTGTTAAATATTTATATTAAACTCGATTAATGAATTCTGAACAAAAAATTCATATTTGTCCTTGTAAATCAATGGCATTTTACGTTTTATAAATAGAACCAATTTATTATAGTAAATGTCGTTTTTAACTTAAAAATATAAGTAGTTTTTTCCTGTCATATTGATTTGATCAAAAAGGCTGTTCAAAATAATAAAAACCTCTTATTATGTTTCTCTCAAAATTGTTTATACTGATTGACTGATTTGTTGAAATTTATGAAAATATAATTGATGACATCAAATAAAAAAAAGTAGTACACTATTCTTACAATTTGCTAAAACTAATTGATATGACAAACACGATTCATAGAAATAATAGGATTCTTCTCGTCATTATCCGTATGAATTAAGACGACTTTATTCTGCAAGTACTCTTTAATTTGTCCTTGATGTCTCAACACAAATAAAAGAAAAGAGCTACAATAATTTCATTCTTTCATTTACAATCATCAACTTCATCAATAATAACCAATTATTCTAGAAATTTGCTCTTTTTATATAGTTTTTACATCGATATAGTTGCTCGACATGTTGTCGTAGATGATGTTCACTGATGTGTGATTTTTTTCTTGTTGTTCGATAAAGCTCCGTTGAGATTCCGTCATTCATACGAATGTATTTAAAGTTAAAAATAGACTTCCACCTTCGGCCTATTGAAAAACCAATGTTAAAAAAACATGAGACGAGCCAAACAATAGTCTTATAATAATTACAGTCAATTAGTCTAACAAAATAAAAAAGAGATCTGGCAAGATATATGACGTTACTAGTGGTGATTAACTTAAATATTGCTGTTCAAATAGATCATGTCACGCAACAGTAGACAAAAAAACAAAAGCTAAAGAAAGTTAAGAATACGTGCAGAAAAATGAATGCACATATAAAGACAATGATATAACCGAAGTGTTAGTCAGTCGAGGAGAAAAAAAATGAGATTGAGATAGTGGATTGAATACATTGACAGTATTTGGGAGCGAAATGATTGACACTATCATCATGTACGCTCTCTCGCTCGAGTATTAGTCGAAGAAAAAAATAAATCGAAGATGAAAAGAGGACAGAATAACGAATGGAAAAAAGAAATATTCCATACATCTTCTTTTGAGAACGTGATCATACTATGTTTTATGCTCTCTTTCTCAAAAAAAAAAAAACCGATGCTTTCATAGAATTTATTCTTTATAAGATGTTAATAAACACGACCACTTTTTTGTCTTCTTCTAACCTTTTTACCAATTTGATCGACAGCTAGTTTTCTGTGTAAGCAATTAATTATCACTGTTTATCATTTTGTTTTCCATACAACAGTATTGTCTATTTGTATGTTGTTCTTTATATCATTTTTAGATAAGACATATGGCGAGCAGTAGTAGACGTCGACTAAGTTTTGTTGATTTTCCTGATCCACAAGTATGGCATAAATTGATTGAATATGCTGAAGTGACTATTACTTTTACTAAATTGAGTTAATAATATACAAAAAAAAAAAAATCTTGTTTTCTTATATTTAAATAATTAATGATAATTTAGTTACTGATTTTACAAATCAATGGGCTAAAATATGTTTTTTGGCATCATCTCAATTACATCAACTTGTAAGTGATTTTCGTAAAAAAACTGAAACGGAAATTCGTGACAAGTATGTTTTTTATTATAATTAATAAATAATTAATAGATTTAATGTTTTATTAGATGTCATTTACGTGGTAGAATGTACGATTTGTGGGAATCATTATTACTTGAATCAGAATTAGAATCACAGGTAAATAGAAATAAAAGAAATATATGTATTTCATAATTGTTGTTAATTTTTTTTTATTCCTATGTATTACATAGTCTTTAAAAAAAATGGCATGTTTAATGGAAAAAGAAATTTGTACGCCATTAGCAAGTTTTATAACAAATAAAAGTGTTGAATTATCTATAAATAGACAACATCGTTGTGATCTTCATGAAATATTAGGAACAAGTCATGCTATTGTTCAAGATGTAAGTTGCAACAGGTGTTTATTTGTTTTTTTTCTTTAATCAACAAAAATTAGATATAATTAGAGTCTTTTGCTTCATTAAACATTTTTTTTTCTTGTCGTGTCAATTTCTTTGAAGAAGTGATTAATAAAAGACAACTAGATTTTTTTTTCTATAATTTCATCTAATAATACATTCAAATTTATATGACACACCAATTGAAATAAGTGAGAGTATAAAATATGTTCGATTAGATTTTGTCAATTAACTTTATTCTCTCGATAAATCATTTTGAATATGAAAACTATTCATTGATAGTATCAATTTATTAAGTAAAAAAAAAAAGAAGCTTTTAAGAGTATTATCGAGAGAACTGTTAGAATTGTTGCATAGAATATTAAGAAAAAGAAGACATATAGATATTATAGAAAAATCCGCCCTTAACTGTTTGACCTTATTGAATCAACAATTGTCAAATGAATTCACGTTACAAATCAATTTAAATATTTCGTTATTTTTTCTCTTCTTCTTCTTCTTCTTTTATCAATCAATAATTGATTTTAGTTCTTCTCTTTGCATCAACCAAATATACTTATGTGAATATATGAGAATTAATTAGAAATAAATAGAAAAATAGACGAGAATAATTAACTTCCATTTGACACAATTAGTTTTTTCGATTATTTTAGTTGCAAGAAGGATATGCAACGATATACAATGATTCTGGAGTTACACCTGAATTTCATCACGCTCATAATCAATATGTTATTGAATTGGTTGGTGCCAATGGTCTTTTATCAAAATATCAATATTATGTTTTACCACAACTTCTTCAAGTAAAAAAAAGCTATGTTCATAAAAGAGTTCAATATATAAACAGTTTTTTGCAATTAGGGAATGGAACAATCACAAATTGATGTTATTGATACAGTTTGTCAAAATTTACAATTATTTGCTTCTCTCATAGAAAATTATGTAAGTCAAAAAAAGAAAAGATAGTAAAATTTTGTTAACATATATGTCGAACTTTGTAAAGTGACAATTTTTAATAATATTTATTTGATTAACATAGTTTCATTAGCATATTCGTATTAAAATGGATTCGCTAGATTATTAAAAAAAAATAAAGTATCATGAATTTAAAATATCTATTTTGAAAGATTTTAGTTTTAGTCAATTCAAAAACCCATAGATATAATAGCAACACATGTTATCTTTATATTAGAGCAATGTACAATAATAACAGGAAACGGGGAGGCTTATTTAATGAATAAAGCGAAAATTAGATTCAGCAAAGATGCATGCGAATGTGTTTATGAGACTCACATCATAGTAAAACATTAGCGTTTTAAAGAATCTACATTCAAACTTATTTTTTATTCAATTTCGAGTTTTAAATGTCATTCAATAAACCTTATAATTACTGATATAATTCTCTCGCTAGATATATGTTTAAAAAAACTTCAAGAAACTTTTGAAAACATCGAATAAACCATTTGAACTGCATACAAGATAATTATATTATATTTTAAGAAAGATTTTTGAAAAATTAAATTAGTAAAAATTTAAACCTTGATATACACATACATTTCATGATATATTTTTTAACATAATTATAGATATCCAGGTTATAAATAATCACACATCAGATCTTTTAAGGTTAGATGAAATTGTACTCTAAAATTCTTGAAAAATCTTATTGTCACATAAGATTTCTTATCATTTTATAATGACATCCTACAAGGCCGCATAATTTTTCAAGAATCTTATAATAGGACATTTTTGTTCTATTTCTGTCTGATATTATAAGCTAAACTTATCATCTTGTAAGATCTTATCATTTAATTGTTTGGGTTTGATTACTACAACAACTGTACTAATCTTTATTCATATATCAAGAATCACAAGAATAATAGAATTGAGAACAACTGTTGCTTATATGTTATTATCCAATATAAATACACACTATTTTTACTTAATTTTTCATTAGAGTTATTAATAATAATGAATCAATAGTTGCTTTGTAATCATCGTATATTTCGTAGATTTTTTAAATGTACTCTATAATTTCCTATTTTTCAAATATTTTTCCCTATAGATTCTTACAGTGAGAGGTAAATTGATTTTATCCTCTCTTCTTTTTATTTTTATTAATATGTTTCGTTTATTTTTCAACATATTATAAATGGCGAGAAGGGATGAAATGCATCACATCTTATAATAGATTCGCCTTGAACAAAGAATAAAGCTGTACTGGAAAAAAGGCAAATGTTTTTTTTTCAACGATGTCTATTCATATCTAAATCTTTACAAAAGAAATTTATAGATTTATCATTAGCGTTAGTCATAATAGACATATATCAGTTCTTACGATATGCACTACGAAATCCCTGGGGGGTTCCAAATGAATGTAAGGCGGATAATAAAAGTAACCAGAAGCTTGTTATGCCTAATTGAAGTACACATTAGCCTGAGACGGAATATGTTGAAAGCTATTCTTATAAATTAAGTCTATCTCCAAGCAAAACATACACATGTAATTATGAAAAGAATGTTAATGTTGATGAATAAACAGATAAAAGAAAAAGACACAAACATATAGATTAGAAGAAAAAATAATTGAAATGTTCTGTTATGCACATCAATATAGATGATAAAGAAATGTGAAATAATTTGCAATCCATTCTTTTTCAATTTTCTATAGACAAAAATAGTCTTTACCTTATTATAGTTATATTCGAAAATATAAATTCTATATAATTATAAACTGTAATGCAGCGCATTTCGTACTTTCTCGCTATATATCGGAAACCAAATCGAACTGGGTTTCGTTGGTTCAATTCTAGTAGCTCTAGTTTATGAGTAGACGATAGGTTAGAACTTCCATCTCTGACGATTAGGATGTCACACTAAAGTCAATATTAGTATAAATCAATACAGTTTAATACATTTGTGGATTAAAATAAAGTTTTTAGTATTCATGCGTAATTATTATCAGTCTGTTTTTAGTGTTAATACACATAATTTTCATACAGATAGAGACGATTATTCATCGCAATATAGAAAAATGGAGAAATTTAAAAGAGAAGAAAATAAAAGACTAATGTGTCATAAACACAACAAGTGTAACTGTTTTGAAGTGACAAAAAAGACTGTGTTAGATGAAAATTAAATTAAGGATGTCGAACGATCGATCAAAGCTCATTTTATCTTCGCCGATCGCATTACACTTTTACAAAAACCGGTTACACTTCAATCAATTATTGTTTCATTTGAGACTTGACTCCGCTCGACTATCTTTTTGACAATTAGTTTGAGTTCAGTTCGATTGCGATCTCTGCTACATATAATATGTTGAAAATTAAATGACGTATGCTGATAAGAATACAAGAAAAAACAGAGAAAGAGAATCAATTGGCTTCCAATGAAAATAGTTAGAGATCTTAGGAAAGTGTGACTTGTGTATTATTGTAAATATTATCATTTGTATTAATAGTATAGTTAGAAGATGGTAGTAGTAGAATGTATAACGTGTTGAAATTATTTCAAATCCACTGGGTAACAAATAACAATCAATTAATTGATGATTTTCTCACTAAAATATATAGTTTTCATATTGATGATGTGCGTAAATTTTCCTGGAAACTCCAATTCTTAAAATTTGCTATCGGATTTAGACAATATTAGATGATATCAATAAATAAAATCGATTGTAAAAATGCTTTACGATAGTTCGATTCATTAGTTTAATGCACAGCTCATATGAAGAAAGCTGTAGGCATGAAAGAAAACCAAAGCGCCTAAATTCAGCGATTTCCATTTCATTTTAATTCTTGGCACGCGTATAGTAATATCAAATAGAGGGTACAAGAATATTTATTATCCTCTTCATTGAGTTGATAGTGTATTTTATAGCAACAAAAAAAAGGCACGCTAAGATCGAGATAAATCTACAAAAAAGGAAAAACATAAGTTTTCATAATCTCATATTTTTTCAAGTCATAATTTACCATTTCTTGGCTTCGCACTAGCGCATCTCATTATTCTTAAGCCCTGTCCTCTCAAAAAACGATCTTGGTTCGAATATTTTCAAACCGTCTAAAATTTTCAGCCTCGTATCATGAAGTTGTCGGGACACATTCAATAAACAAGGGTAAAAGTTAATTCATTTAGCATCTGTGCTCCTTCATTCTATATGCTCAAGTTTTTTTTTTTGTTTGGGAGAGCATGTCAGGATCCAGGGCATGATAGAACCTTTTTTTTTAAATTTTTTTACTTTTTAAGTAAAGCAAAATTCAATGTCTCAAGAGACTCTCAAAAAAAATGGTGTTCTTATAAAAGTACTCTTTTATACAATAATAACAAAGCTTAATTTTAAAAAAAGGGACATTGTCTTGCGCTGTACCTTGATATGTTCTTTCAAACATAACAAAAAAGAGCAATTAGCTACAATGATGTTCCTTCGCCAATTCAGCGACGTACGATCGGATAAAAAAATATAAACAAAGAAAAAACGAAAAAGATTTCCTGCTTTTTCTGAAAACAGCATATTTTTCAAGGCAGTAAGCAGAAATTATCAAGAGAAAGAAGAGGTGAATAAAAAAAATTCTGTCATTTATGACAAATCAGGCATTGATTTATCTTCCCATGTATTTATTTTAATATCGATAATTCTGACCACAATTGACTTTTTTTTTGGAGAGAACCTAAATCAGTTTGATATGATCCTTTTTCAATTAATTTTATCAACCTAAATTATACAGAATTCATACACAACTAACTCTAAAACACAATAAATATGAGTAAATCAAGTCAAAGAAATTATTGAATGACTGGACGTTGATTTCAATCTTATATTTCATTAGTTCCAATTTTATTTACCACTATTGTCTGAATCCAATAGCAAATTTCAAGAAAGTGCTATTGGACTAAAATTTGTAATTTTCTGAATAATGCGTGATGTTTTTATTTATACTCAGGAAAATTTACGTACATTATCGAAATGAAAAAATCAATTCTAATTATATATATTTTTTAATTAGAAAATCATCAATTAATTGATTGATATTATATTACCGAGTCGATCTGAAATAATTTCAACAAAATTCTGTATCGCATTTATAACATTGATATGACATGCATGTCACTTTATTCCTCATTCTCGTTTGACATGTTTAATTTGTAATATGATCGATTTGTTTTGTTTTTTCAAGATTTAAAAGTGTATAAATTTCTTATTGAAGAATATCATATCGTATATAGTTGCTATGTAGCAAGGAAAATTCTATATAACTATTGCTTTTAGATTCCTATATTTTTTTAAAGGATACTACGAAGTCGGATGCATGCCTAGTGTCAGTGAGAATACATCATCTGTTCTTTATTATTTATTTCTATATGTCGATTGAATGCAAATTAACTTGATACAACAATTAATATCACTTAATGATAATGTAAATCAAAGATAAAAACCGTTAGATTTGTACTGAATAATACTCTTGAATATGATATATAATCAGTTAAGCAAGATCCGGTCGTGCTTTTTTTATGCATCTTTAGATCCTGTCACCACTTGTTTATTTATACAAAACGAAAATATTATTGTGCAGAAGATGTTTTTTAGCACAGCAGATATCTAATGATGTAGATTTTTTTGTTTTGTTACTATAATTATCATTACAATATCGTACACTATTTACAATAATCTGGAATAAATTAAAAGAAAAGAAAAATATTTTTTTATTTATTACAAAAATAAATCTTTTTCTTTTTTTAGCATGAACAACGTCATCGTAGTTTTGCATCATTTGTTGTAACAAGTACAACAACAGATCCAAATGAAGAATTAGAAAATTATATATGTTCAATAAATGAATCAGGTGGCGAGCCATCAACACCACCAATTAATATTGAATTTGAAATATTTCACTCTCCAGTTAATAAACTAACTACATATGATTCTCGTTTACAACATTTATCACCACATACTACTGAGCAATTAATTGTTTATGCAGCACCAATTATTCAATCACAATTATCATTACGTTGTAGAGAAACAGCTGAACGTTTAAAAGAAGTAAAAAAGGAGAAATCAGCATTATTAGCTGTTGTTAATAAAACACTCACAAAGCATCATCAACAACATGAAGATCAACAACAGTAAGTTAACAAAACAAAAAGTACCATAATCTTATTTGTTTTTCATTTAAAAACAATTAAACCGGATATTTCTAATTTTCTTGACTCTTAATATCAAACAAAATATAATTAAGCATAAATTTTTTTTCCTATACATTAAATATCTATTATTTATGTATATAGAAAAGACAAGAAGCTACTAATGCATAAGAAAAAAGATCAAACTATATATAGAAAAAGATTTTTTTTGTATCATGATTCTGTAATCTTATTAAATATAATTTTAGATCGGAGAAAATCTTGCTTAATCATATGCAGGGTTTTATGAAAAAGAAACATCAATTACGTTTAATTGAACTTGAAGAATCTGTATTAATAGCGCAGGTAAAATATATTATTCTATTTTATTTTACGTTTGACAAGCAAAGTAAAAAAAAAACCTAACAGTTAAATAAAGAAAAATCTCAGAAAAAAAAATCCATGACGTTTGTTTATAATAATGACATTTTTTTTTCTTCTGTCGTTAGTTTTCTTCAAAATGATAATGACCACTCTGATAGATAAGATATAATATCAATATTTGCTTAAAAAACATCATTCTCATCATAAGAAATGTTTGTCATTGTATCAATGAGATCATTATTTCATAAAAACAATCATGTATTGAAACTTGCTGATGCCTACTCTAAAGGCATATATATATATATATCTATATCTATATATATACATCAAGTAATGGGTAATGCCATTAAATCAATGAAATCGACCGTAGTCTATTAAAGAACAGAAGAGAAACAACAACTGATTGGATTTTTTTTTCTTTTCCTTTGTAGAATAATCCATCTGTCATATGTCTATGCATAGCAAGATGCTTTTGTCAAATGCCGCGTCAAATGTTTAAGCATTAAATGAGCGAGTATTTGAGTGCTAGATATAGATCGATATAATGCGATCGAGCGCAACAAACGATAACAACTCGTGCCCACACATACATACACATATATATATATATATAAATATATATATATATATATAGAAGCAGTAAGGACAAAAAGAGAACGCTTGAAGAATCCATCAGATTGATTAATCGGCAGTTTCTTCTCATTTGTAGACTCTATCATTGCTTTGTTTGTTGTTCCCTATTAACACATTCACCATTTTTTTCTTCTTCTTGCTAACTTACGACAATATGCCCTATGCATAGTTCTTTGACATCATCTCATAACAAAAATATGTGTATATGTTAGAAGAATAATAACAAAATTATAGACGACGACTTTACCGGTTTGTTTTCGACAATTGACTTTTACTTGCAAAAGCAAAAAAACCTTATGTTATTCAAATATTATTATTAAGCTTTGTATCGTAAGTTTTTTATGTAAAGTAAAAGAAAAAAAAGGAGATTCACTTGAAAAATGGTCTTCTGTATTTTGCAGACGTTCTTAGAACGATTAATATAAATAAATGTTGTTTTCTTTTAGATAGGTTTTACTTGTAGGGCGGAGTCACAGCACG